TGTTGTGACCCTTGGAAAGACTCTGCTACACACATGTGCTGCTGGGGGAGACAACGTTAGGCCCCTTGTCACCCTGGAGTCACTAGGCTTTTATACCCCCTTGTGGTCCTTGGTAGTCTAGGGTAGGTGTAGCTGACTCTGAAGATGACTGTTTAGATCCATTGTTACTGAAGAGAAGACTGGATTGGACCCATTGTGACCCTGAGGAGAATGGGTTAGATATAATGGGACTCTGAGGAACTCTGGGCTAATCAATTGTGACCCTAGGGAGGTTATTCTAGATCCAGTGTGACCCTTTGGAAGACTAAACAAAATGTGATTCTGGGAGAGACTACACAAAGCTCATTCTGATATGGGGAGACTAGGATGGACCCATTGTGAGTCTGATATAGATAAGACAGGGTCTAATTGGACACTGAGAAACTAGGATAGGTCCGTTATGAACCACAGAAGAAGATGATCCTAGGGAAAACCAGGCTGGATGCACTTTTGACCCTGGAGATACTTGGTTAGACCTTATGTAGCCATGGAGAACTCTATCCTAGATCCATTGTGACCCTGGGGCAGACAAGGCTATCCCAACCATAACTTTTGTGGAGACTAAGTTTGACCAACTGTGAACCTGGGGGACAGGCTAGACCCAATATAAACTTGAGGGAGACTAGGTTAGGCCCATCATGACTCTGGGAAACATTAATGCCTATCCATTGTGATCCTGGAAGAGACAAGGTCATTCATTGCCATTGTAACCCTGGGGGAGTGTGGCCCTTTAGGACCAAGTGCTATGGTCAAAGCAAGCACATCTCTTGCCTACGGAGCCACCTTAGGTTTCTGGGTGATGGATTTTGTTTTTTTTTTTACTGGGTTTTCTGGAACATTGTTTTTCACATTCTAGAAATGCTGCTGCTCGGTTAGCATATCCAAGGAGCTTTGTTCATGCTGTATCTCTCCATACAGCTTCCTTTGTTTTTTTAGGTTAAGGAGATATGGACTCTCACACAGAGCTGCTGTTTTCCTCCTTTTATATTGGCACAAATCAAAGTGCTTTAGCTTCTTTCTCTTTTTTATGGGATGTATTTTTTTTTCACTGCAGTTGAAAAGCAGAGGAGACACTGATTGATTCACTCCCCAAATATCCAGGGCTGTGCCAATTGGAAGTCAGGAGCTAGGGCTTCACACATGGGTAACAGGGACCCAAAGACTTGAGCTGTCTTCTGGTGTCACCTAGACTGTGTGTAAGCAGGAAGTGTGGAGGAAGCTTGATGCACGCACTGGGACACAGGGTATGGCTTTGCCAACACGTGTTTGAATGCTCATTCCTCTTACACCTTTCTGTGTAAGACATCAAACTGGTCTTATACAAAGTGCTCTCCTCATTCGTAGGTTACTTACTAAGCTTCTAATGATGACATTTGGTCTTCAATTTGTCTGAGGTATGCAAGCCCTATTTTTGTCACATCCTGTTATTATCTAAATTTCGGTTTGCTATTTTCATGCTCTGCATATAACATCAAGTAACTGGGGGGCAAATTCCATTTAGCCTGTGGTTAGTATTTTCTTTTAGAGAGCGTTTCTTGTTTGTTTTCCTGAGTTTCCTGTCTTTGCGGTCACTTCTGGCCTTCTTGTTTGTGCTGGGAATCCCTGCCTGGGACAGAGTCCTTCCTGCTGTCTCTGATGCCCAGGACAGAGGGTGAGAAAGGAGAAGAACAAGAGCAGCCTAATTGGCATGAGGCCACCTGGCTCTGCCTCCTGTCCCCTTTCTCGGGTATGGCATCAGCCCATTACACCCCTCATGCTGGGTGCTGCTTCCCCATCCCAGGCTCCTGGGCTGCAGTGAGCATCTGGCTGCTGACTGTTCTTTAGCTCTGTTGCAGTGTCACTGCACATCAGCAAACTGTGATATTTATGTACAAGGAAATCGTGGGAGAAGCCAGGATGCTGTGCTGTGCTTCCTCCAACTCCTGATGGCAGAAGCAGGGTGCATACCCAACTCTCTAACTGACCCCAACCAGCTGGGCTCATCCAGTGGCTGCCTCCCACGCACTCTGTCACTCCACAGCTGCGGTGGCGGCACTCCTGTGGTCTTGGGCCTGAAGACACAGACACTGAGGTTGTCACTGTTGGTGACAGGGTCAGGAGGCTCTGGGCCACAGGATTGCCATGGCAAGGGGTCAGGGTCAGGCAGATCAATGGGGGCACCACTGGATGACCTTTGAAGGAGAGTTCAGGAAAAGCAGCTTGCAGGCTGCAGCTCTGGGCATCTCAGAGTGTGTGTGTGTGTGTGTGTGTGTGTGTGTGTGTGTGTGTGTGTGTGTGTGTGTGTGTGTGTGTGTGTGTGTGTGTGTGTGTTGGGCACTGATGCAGTCACCCTGAACTGGGGCACCTGAGCATGTTGGTAGAAAGTTGAAGTGTGAATGTTGTGGCACCAGGTTTACTTGTCGCTGTGAAGGCTGCCTTGGATTGAGGCCCACAGCAGCACCAATGGGGTAGGGGTGGGGGGACAGGGCTCTGAGAATTCTAGAACAGATGGCATCAAATAGATGGCTAGGAAGAATCTCACTGGTTTCTCTTTGAGGATGTTTTCCGATGTGACCTTGAACCAGCCCCTTAAGTTATCGATGACCAAATATCCAGTTGTCAAAGCAGATGGAGGTGACACAGCATATCAATCACAGTCGGGATATTTTATGAAAACGTTTAATTCGGCTGTCTCTTTGGAATGTAGTAGTCATAGTTTGGAGTTTAGGTTACAGTTCAGTCTTACATGGTTTTATGCTGCTGAGTGTCTGAGAATACAAACATCAGTTAAAGTTAAGGCTTCGCTGTTCATTTTACAAGTGTCATTGTTGTAGAAAATAAAAATTTCTGTAAAAAAAAATTTGCACAAAGTTTTATGATGGTACAAAACATGAAGCAATCATATACCAGTAAAATGAAAACATTTTATCACAGAAAGTTCTATAGATCTCAATAAAGAAAAAAATATGTTATTTTACACCTTTTAAAAATTACGAAACCATCTAAAACAATATAAACGGAACATTCTGTAACACTGCCTTTACAAATTAATAACTTTATAAACATATAATTTTTAAATATATTTATCAGTGCAAGATACTTTAAAATTCAAAGTTGCAGTATCATTTTCCCTCGGCTGAGGACGATTTCTGTCTGTTCTTAAGAAAACGAAGGAAGCCACGTGTACCTCAGTGCCCTCCTCTGGCTCGGCCGACAGCCCAGTAAGGCCTCTGCGGACAGAAGCTGTTCTTTTCTCAGTGATCAATACTTCGCCTGGAAGCAAAAGGTGATCTTAATCCCATTAAGCCAAGATGAGTGGACCCTGGGGTCGATGATGCAAATGTGGCTCAGCTGAGGAGGGGCTGGGATGGGGACAGATGTGCAGTGTTGCCACAGCATGGCTGGACCCAGCCCAGTAGAATGCTCTAGTGCTGGGAGAGAAGGGAAGGGCATTCCAGCTCCAGGGCAGGTTGTTGTCGGAGAAGTTTCCAGAAGCATCATCAATTCAAGTCTATGCCTTCAGGATTGCTACCTGATATAGCTTAGGCTACGCTTCTGGCTGCACCTTGCGGCCCTGTTCCTTCTCCTGCATTAAGCTATCTACCCCAGCAGGATCTCGCCCCCTGCACTGATTCTGCAACTAAACAGCCAGGGGCCTGGCAAATGTCTCACCTTTTTAGACGTTTTTGAGATTCTCTTCAGTCATGCCTCTGGGTCTCACTGGAAAGCCAGCTGCATTATTGCTTCCCTCAAGTTATCACTGTTTCTAACAAAGGCAGACATTGCTACAGAAGAGTGTTCAGATGGGAGGGACAGACAAACAGCTTCAGGAAAAAGGATACTGTCACTTGAACCAGTTAACAAGAAAACCAAAGTTAGACTTTGGAGGGCCAAGTTAGGAATTTCCCTTATTTATTTACTTTGAAACATAAAGTCTAGTGAACGTTTTGCCATTCCCAGCAGGTTAAAGCTGCAGGTTTCTTTCCTGGACCATGGCAAATGCTTAAATTCTAGAAGAGAAAGAAATGAGAGAGAAGAGAAAGAGAGAGAAACAGAGAGAGAGAGAGAGAGAAGCAAGAGGGAGCAGAAGTTTACATTTGAAAATACATTCCGTATGAAAGAACAGTAGAGTATTGCAGCTTTATACAAAAGCATCAAGAGACACGGGGTCGGACCACAGGAGAGCAGACCAGTGCAGCCACTCTGCCACAACAGAGCCCTTGCCTTCCTGGGGGCTGGCGCCTCACACTGGGATCCCTCATGCTAGCACGGTGCGTGCACCTCCTCGGCAGGAAACAGAGTGGGTCACCGATGGAACACGGAGAACCAGTACAAACGAAAGGCACTTGAAGGATGCAGACTAGCCAGTGCCAAGGTGGGGCGTGGCAGAGTGGGCACGCGGTTCTGTCCGCAGAGCTCATGGGCGCCAGGTTTTGCGTCATGACCCGGAGGGGCATGCAGAGGAGCTGGCAGTATTGCTTCGTAAACACAGCCCATGCATGTTAGCCTGGGACCCAGGTTGTCCTGGCAACCCAATGTCCCGACCCCTCATGGACCTACCCATGCTACGGGCAATGACACAACAAGGGTCCGACAAAATGCAGCTGTTCTGGTTTGTTCTGGGCACTGGGCTACTTCAGGTGGCACATCCGTCAACAGGGCCCTATGGCACACGTGGTGCCGGCATTGCTTCTGAGAGCGCACACAGGGAGGGAGGAGTGAGTAGAGAGGGGGAGTCGCAGTGAATGATCAGGTCAGTCCGTCACGTCCGCTGCCATGCCAGCTTGTGATTCCTGACTGCACATGACCACGAGGGAGTGAGCTCCGTGCTCGTGTCTGCCGGCCACGCTCACAGCAGCTCCTGAGAAGAGCCTGGCTCAGCGTCCATGGCCACACACCTCCCAGTCTGACGGGGAGAGGTCCATGGTGCCTGGTGCCAAGCCCCATTGTCTGCTGCGGCTCTCAACTTTCAGCTTTGCACACCGCCTGGCCGTCTGCCTTCACGCTTCTGAGTAACTGCTCTGTGTGTTCAGCTTGTCCTTTTTCAACTTGACGCCGTCGACGAGCTCAAAGTTGTAGTTCTCCAGGGCAGACAAGTTCCTGTCCGACATGCCATTGTGCCAGCAGGCGCAGTACAGCACCACCCCACACACGGCACCCAGGAGCACACCCAGGGCGCTCATAGCGATAATGGTGATGAGGATGGGGTCCAGGGTCTTCAGGACGTTGCCCGGCTTCCGAGAGATATTCCTGTCCCCTTCCCCTTCGCCTTCATATCCCGGGGTGCTGCCTAGGAGAGAAGCAGGATGGGCTGGGTGAGCAGCAGAGCAAGCAAACAGGGCAGGTGGCACAGGGAGACAGGTGTTCTTCTCCCTGCAGGCAGCTCAGCTCCTGCTGCTGGGCCCAGAGGAGGCTGTGTGCTGTCCTGGCGCAAGCTTCTGCAGCCTGTGACAGTGCCAGGCTTTGACCCCAGCAGAAATGCATGCCTTGAGCCCTGCAGGGTGTCCAGCATGGGCTAGTCCTGCAGGGACTTGGCACAAGCAGATCTCAAAACCAGCCCTGGGCAGCGCTTCCATGGTGTCCAGGAAGGCTACCACCAGGTGGATGGGGGTGTCTCCTCAGAAGTTCATGGAAACAAATGGAATTGGGGAATGGATCTGGGGGCTGGCACTGTGGTGCAGCGAGTTTCACTGCTGTGTGTGATGCCAGCATTACACGTGGGGGCCGTGGTTTGAGTTCTAGCTTTTCTTTCTAATCCAGCTCCCTGCTAAGGCACCTAGGAAGGTCAAATACCTTGGACCCTCTGCCTAAATGGGAGACCTGGATGGATGTCTTGGCTCCTGACTTTAAGCAGGTCTAGTCCTGGCCATTGTGGCATCTGGGGAATGGACTAGTGGAAGACTGATTCTCTCTTCCCTCCCTACTGCTCTTTGAAATCTTTACGATGTCTGTTTCAGTGTAAAAAGTGAGAAACCCACACAGTCGTCTCCTAATATGGATTTGCATGAACTTTGTGGAGAACCACGCTGATTGTACCTGCTGGGCAGTGTGCCATGCAGCCCTGGGGATATGGATCCTGAAGCATGCTCAGCTGGCACCAGGAGAGGCCTGCAGGGTGAGTACATGCCCTCATGCAGTTTTCTCATGGTGTTCCAAAAGACACAGATCCTGACCAGAGACCTAGAGCTGCGAGACAGCAGGCCTGCAGCAGCTGTGAGCACCAGGCACTGTTCCCCCATGACAAGGGGCTCCCCGAGTGCATGGATCTGTGGTGCAACTGAGAGTGAGGTCATGGCCACCTGAGAAACAGGACCAGGCACCTCTAGAGAACAAAAGTCATCTGCCAGGATGCCATGGGTACCATTTGATGCCACAGCTCGTGGCTGATGGCAATGCAGTGCCTGGCAGCGGGGGTGTCGGAGTTAAGCCGGCTGCCTCTGAGGCAACCTTCTCCACTATGTCCAGCACGTCATCTTGCTCTGTTGAGATGGGAACTGCTGTCGGGAGGAGACAAGACACACTTGTAGAGCACTCGGAACTCAGTGAATTCTTGCTTGCACCCTCCTCCTCCTCCTCACTGAACGGGCGATGCAGCAGGGCAGGCGGTCCCAGAAGCCAGACTCAGATCAGTCAGATCTAAGCACTTGGGTGTCTACAGTTCCCAGGTAGAAACAACGGTTGCCATCCCACTGCCCAGCTTGGTGCAGCTCTGCATGGTGGGAACCACCTAGGACAGCCTCCCATTTGTGTCCTAGGGTCTACTACATGGGTTACTATTTGAATCAAAGATCCAGACCATTCTTTGACAAAGTTCATGGGAGCCATTTAAAAACATTTGGTCAGTAAGACAGATTTACCTGTTTCATCAATGGTAATTTCTGAGTTCTTTCTATCCAGGTCTGCAGGTTCTGACAAGTGAAACAAAGTTGGAGAGATATTTGGATGGCCAAGAAAATACACATTTGCACCAACTGTGTCCACTCTGGCACAGACATACATGAGTACTGTGATACCCTCCCCCAGCTGCACAAAGCTGCCCAGGCAGGGAGGCAGCCTGGGGTCCTAGCGCCACCCCTTTAGGTGTGCATTTGTATCCAGGGGTGTGGCTGTGAGAAGGGCAGGGTGAGCAACATGCCTTGGTGTCTGTAACGGGGAGGAACCTGGAGCAAAGAGAGCCCTGGGGCTGCAGGGTGGGCTGCTGTGCTGTAGCCTATGGGGAGACAGGCTGTGTCCTGTGTCCTGACATTTGGGACCTGAATGTCTCTGCAGGAGGTGGGGACACTGCGTGGCAGTGAGTTCCCCAGCCCTCAGAACCACATGGATTGCACACTGTGTTAGGACGGATGGGCTTCTTGCATGAACCCCACAGGGGAGTGAGGACATGTGACAAAGCAAGCATGCACAGTCATCTCCGACACATTTCTACACAAAGAGGCATCGTGGGGGAGCTGAGGCTGTGACTTCTGAGCGTGGTAGGTGGCAGCCACAAGGAGTGGATGATTGCCACAGGAAGAAATGCTGCAAGATAGCTTACTGCAATGCCACATCTGTCCTCTTCACCTGTCTCCAAGTACAACCTGGCATGTTTTCAGTAGCTGTGGGGACGACCTGGGTGGTGGACAATGGTGATGTCCCCTGCTGTGTCACTACAGGCATGCCTGCTTAGGCTGTGGGGAGGACATGTGCAGTGGGTCAGCAGTCATGTCACCTGTGTCACTAAATGGCATGCTTGCTTTGGCTGTGAAGAGGACTTGGGCCTCCATCATCTATGATGTAACTGCAATTTTTTTGATGATTTGCCAAGTGCCGTAGCGTGAAACATATTTCCCCACACAGTCCAGAGACACACACTGTCCCTTGCAGTCCTCTTTCTGAGTACTATCCAATTTCTCCTACTGCTGCTCCCCAGTTTCTGCCCCAGGCAGGGTCTCTGTTGTCCACATCCCGCACAGTGAAGCTCCGTGAAGTGCTACAATGACAAGACCTGCCATATCCAACACCCCTCTTCTGTCTGACACTTATCCAGTAGACTTGTTCTGTTTTGTAGTAATTGACGTCCTGTGATGTGGTGACTTCCGGCAATTAATGCAGCCACAGCGCTGCCAAGATTGACCACTGCGCTATACGCCATACTGACCAACTATGCCTAATTGTGCCAGTTAGGCTTGTTCCATTTTGCTATAACTGACATCCTGAGCTGTGATGACCTACAGCCAATAATTAGTGCAGCCACAGCACTGCCAAGACTGACCACTGTGCCATCCGCATTAGGAACAGGGTTGTGAATTTACCAAGACCCGCTCCCACATAGGATCGAAGTCTCTAGATTTCATTTGTTAAGGTTATAGCTTTTTCATGTATGTATTTGCAGTACGGTGGAGGGTGATGGTTTGTGTGGCTCATATTCAGCATTGTCTTAGTGAAAGACACTGCTTTCTTAGTCACCAAAAGCCTGCCCTGCTGTACCCCATGTCTGTGGAGTCTGAGCTTCCAACTCCATCCCCATGCTTGTGGCGGCTATCACAGGGTCAGCTTTGCTTCTCTGCTCACTGGAATTCATGTCACATGCCAAAGGTTTGTGGGTTCCAACCAGACTTTGTGATGTGAATGGGCTGGGTTAGGTGATGGGGCAGCTAACGGCGACTGGCCTCTCGCATTTCCCATGGTGTTCCCAAGCCCACATCATCACAGCATGTTTTTGTCCCGGGGGCACATGCCCGGTGGTGTCCATGGCTGCCTGTACTTACTTGCACAGTCCTCCTGAGAGATGTGGTTATTGATGCTGATGTCGTCCACAGCGATCCCGCCCAGGTTTCCTTTGCCGATTTCCCCCTCAAAAATCACCTGCCAGAACAAGAACAGTTCACAGGGTATAAGTGGCCATCCCAAAGGGCAGTGCCAGAGACATTGTGCAGCTGAAGCTGGGGCACAGGAGCGGAATCCAGACTGATTCCCGTGCACCTGGCCCAGGAACCAGCCAGCTGCCTGGCGATGAGATAGCCAAAATTCCCAGGGGACAAGGTGAGGGCGTTGGTCCCACACTGTAACTTCTGTTTGTTTTCTATCTCTGGCTCCCAGCTCCCTGGTGGGAGAGACAGCAAGGTGAGTGGGTGCCAGCTACATGTGGGAGACCTGGGTAGAGTTCTGTCTCAGCTTCTTGGGAGAGAATCCACAGACTGGAGCTCTGCCACTCTGCTTCTTACATATATCAACTTGAAAAGCCCAGGGGATGCAAAGAGAGCCGATGGTGGCGGCTCAGACCCAGATTCTGCTGCCCGCACACGGGGGCCTGGGCTCCAGGAAGGCCATCTTTGGGGGCAGTGGCACTGCAGGCATCCCCATGGCTTTTCAGCCTGTTCCCTGAGCTGCCCCTCCCAGCCCAGCATGTGGCAGCACCTGGTAAAGCTTCAGTGACTTGTGCAGCAGCACGCGGCCCTCCTTCCAGTGGTCTCCCTGGTGTCCAATGGCCATCCACACCAGCTGGTCGTACTCCTCTGGCTTCTGGTAGTGCAGCTTGACTCTTAGTGTGCCCACATGGGAGCCAGACATGTGATACCAAAAGGTCATGCAGTGGGCACTGCTCTGTGACGATACCACGGGGCTCACCAGCCGGGCCACTTTGCCCTTCTGGTTCTCATCAGCCTGGGAGTAGATGAAGTTGCCGTCCCCTGTGGTGACAAACATGGGGTCAGGGAGGAGGCCCCAGTGTGCTCTGTCCTCTCTCCTGCTGTGCTGAGCCCCAGAAACCTAAGCCGCAGGCATAGAGCAGGGGAGCAACACCGAGGCCATGCTGTGAGCACCTCCTATTGGGTTAGGCATGTGGCCAGCACAGACTCAGACATGTCTTAGGGCTATGCACTATCAGGGGCACCCATGCCACTGGCAGGAAGGTGCCAGCTAGCATCCACAGCAGACAGAATACCTGGTTTGGGGCAGGTGCTTGGTGCCTTGGTGAAGCTGCTAGTTGGGATATTTACAACCTGTATCGGAGCCTGGATTCAAGTCTTGGCTCTGCTTCTGACCCAACTTCCTGCTAACGCAGACTCTGGGATGCAACAGGTAATATGGTTCAGGTGCTTGTTACTAATGGGGAAGACATGGGTGGAGCTCCTTCTGGCCTGGTCCAGCCCCAGCTGCTGTGGCCATTAGGGCTGTGTCAGGGAAGGGAATCCTGACTGTCCTTCTTAGACAGGTGAACCCGTGCATAGTGGGAGATTTGGCCCAGGCTGTATTCAGGAAACTCAGGGCCTGATTTGCACAGCTCTACCCAGGAGCCTCATGTGCTGGGGGAGGGGGTTCTCTCTGCACTTGCCTTGTCTCCTGTTGACAAGTCTCTGCCTTTCAGATGTGGAGCTGTCCTGTCCCTCCCTGAACCTCCACCTCTGATAGCCTCTAAGGGCTGTCTGTGAAGGTTCCCGCCTGCCAGGGGTGGGGGTGTGGGGACTGCAGGGCCAAGCTCTCAGCCACCTCCCTTCTGAGGCTTTCATCAGAGCTCCAGGTCAGGAACTATGTCATTGTTAGCACTTTCCCTCTGCCAGCCTTTTAGCTTCTGTGTCTGCCTCACACAGCTCTTAACCTCCTCTAAGTGTCAGGGTGACTGGGCCATTTGGCCTCACTTTGCATCAATTTTCCCACCATTACTGCCTTCAGCTGGGCTAATTGCATTTAGTTAATTTGATGCCACTTACAGTCAAAGTATTTTAAGTTTTCTAAAACCGCTTGTCTTAAAGCTCAATGGAAAGTGTGTCAGAATTGAAGGAGCCCAATTGCGGCCAATTTCCTTGTCACTCTCAGTAGGCAAGAAGGCAGCCCATTCAGCTCGTTTAATGGCTGTGTTCACGGGAGGGGAAAGAGCGAGCGTGATGAGAGTGGTGTGCAGAAGGAGGGCTCCTGAATGGGGACAGCCAGGAGAACAAGTGGGCTGGCTGGGGCCTTTCTGTGCAGCTACTGTGAGTTCCCTGGATCCTAGAGGGCAGTGGTGTTGGAGCCAGCTGAGTTCTGCAATTAAAGGGTGGGATCAGGGAGCAAGAGTCGCTTGTTCACCCTGGGAAGACACCTGAACTGGGTAGAAAATAACCCAGCCTTGGGATGCTAGGAACACAGCTACATGACCAAGTAAGGAGCTCTTTTGGTCAGGTTACACATCCCCGGCTCCTTTCTGTGTTGGAATGTATCTGAAACAGCCCGTGAGTGAAAACCCAGCAAAAATGTAGAGAGAGCACAGATAGATACACAGTCTGGCCCCAGGCACCTTTCCCCAATCCCAGGCAGTTGGCCTCCCGCCTCAGCCTCTCCTCTGGGGCGGAGGGCCCGGTTCCCAGAAAACAAAGGCACAAGTGGGCACGCATGGCATTTCCTAGCCCCCAAAGGAAGAGGCTCTGGTGCTCCCTCCCTGCCTGGAGGAGCACCTTAGCTGCATACCTGTGTGGTCCTGGATGGGCCCAGTCTTGCTGGTCAGCACACTCCACCTGAGCTGCACCTGGCTGTCATGCTCCCAGCGGCAGAAGGTCTTGTGTGAGCCCCAGCCAAACTCACAGTTGAATCCGTACGTGGGGAACTCTGCAGCAGGTGGGGTGGGAGAGTGGAAGGAAGAGAGAGACTCGGTCACTTTAAAGGTAGAAGGACTCTGTCCTTGACAAACAAGGCTTGACCAGTTGCGTGTCTGGGAAAGCCAGACCCAGGGAATCGGAAACATGCAGAGATGCGGAATGCCTGTGAAACCACACTTGGCAGTTTCATCTTGTGCAGTTGTGCTGAGGCCACTGCTGTTTGTTAGATGGGGTTGACAGCAAATCTCCAGGGAGGTGACTTTCCAAGAAGGACTGTCATTCTGGACCTCCTCCCCCACCTCGGAATGTAAACCAGAGGATGCTGTGTTTCCGAGGAGAAATCTCAGAGTGGCATGTGCAGTGAGAGCAGGATCTTAGAAGGTGAGCTGGGGCGTCTGTTCTCATGGCACCAGGGGCCTTGGGGCTGTGCTTGTTGGGGCAGAAACCTGGGAAGTAAACGCTTGGTATTTTTCAATTTTGCTTTGTTGTTGCTGCTGCTGTGTCTCCTAGTAGGTCCCTTAGTGCAGGTTTCTGCTTTGTTAGTGAATCCATGTATATATACATTGTCCACCCTGCTTTCTATCACGGTGCGACCCACATAAGGTCAATGTGCACAAACAGCCATGCCACACTTCCTCAAGAGTCTGGAGACAAAACAGAGGTGCCGTGTTCACCCTCAGTGTTATGCAAACAGCCTCATGTTCAGTGCACCCCTGTTGAAAGAGGAGTGTGGGAACATGAGCACTTGGCCTGGGAGTGCTAAGGCAACAACAGCCGTGGGAACAAGCTCCACCACTGCCTATCCTGCTCTCCGGACAAGGCTTGAGGCGTACAGAATTGAGGTCCACAAGGTGGCAGCACAGAAACAGACCAAGACGCCCAGATGGGCCCCAGGGTGGTGTGCCTCCACCCCTAGGTCTGACATGCAAGGCTGGGCTCTTGGATAACTCCCGCAGGGTGCAGGTGCTTCTGTTGAGCATCATTTCAGCATGTAAGGAGCTCTCATCAGGCTCATGGCAAATTCTGGAGGGTACTCACTGTAGGAGTTACCAGGATGAGTAGATGGGCCCTCCCAATGACCAGGTGACTGACCTACTGGGAACCATGAGACACACACACGTACTCAGGTAGTGCAAGGGGCCGCCCCATGGCTGCAGTGTCCTGGGAAAGGTGTGGTCCACATTGGCACCACGGCCACACATTGGGGTGTGCCCTCCAGGTTCACTGCTCGGAGCTGGACTGAGAGCCCATGACTGCCCATGTCCCTGGCTTCGGGACTCCCTGGCACATACTCTCCAGTTAGAAGACTGAACTGTGGCTTCTAGGATAGTATGCACAACACCTACAACTCTGGTCTGTCCTCATTGCTCACACACCCAGAGTCTACACTCCAGAACTTTCTCTGTGTGCTTCCCAGTCCTGGGATTTTAATAAGGAGAACTGTGCTAACAGTCAGCCAGCCACTGGTCTTTGTCCTCGGGTCTCAACCCTACAACGGAGGGCAATCTTGAATGTGCAACAGAAATGTTTCAAAGCAGTGTGCTTCATTGGAGAGGGGTCACTCAGTGCTGTTAGCTCAGGACTGGCTAAGGAAGGTGACGAAACACAGGGAATATCCACACACATACAAGGGGAAGGAGAGAGGGAGGGAAAGCAGGGGGGGAGGGAAACGTTACTATTCGAATGTACTAAACACCCAGCAGTAGCACCCTCACTTCCATGAGCATCACTCTGCAGCCACAGGGGATCCTGGCTGAATCTGCTTGCAGGCATCTGTCCCAGTCCCTTCCTGAACTTGAAATCCACTGACAGTCTCTACACGCAGGGCCAGCAGGACTAAGTGCTACACACCACGTTTAAAACCACTTCTGAGCATGGGCTCACGCATATGCCGTTCCTGCTGGCCAGACCAGCAGGGGTACAGGCTGGGAAGTCACTAAGAGTGTAGAGCGTGTCCCCCCACCCACCCCTATTCAGGGAACAGCTAGATGCAGCACTCCCTCCCATTAGCTCCCAGCAGAGTGTCCTGTGTGCAGTGCCAGCACGGGAGCGTCCTGTGCCCTGAGTTCACCACAGGGATAGGAGCCCTCCGAATGAATTCTCGGGCCCTGGCTGGGCCTGACAGCTGAGGCATGGCGGAATTGCAGGCCAGATCTGTGTGGGAGGCCTTCAGCAGCAGAGTGGGGTGGAGGGCACCACAGGTATACCCCCATCTGGGGAGACCAGTGTAGACTGACCCCTGGCTTGCAAACACCCATGTCCTGATGGATGTTCTGTGTAGCCCCTGGACCAGCAGGAGACTGGACTGACTCCTCCAGACAGGTCAGCACCAGCAGGCAGAGTCTCTGAGCCCAGAGTCAGGACTCAGACTCAGACAATGGAAAAACAGGAAGTCAAGTGACCTTGCCAAGCACTCTGAACAGACTGTTCAGCTGGTCAAGACTGCCTCAACAGGAAGCTGGGTGGGGACCTCAACTTGAGCTGATGGTGGGCGTGAAGGGTCCTGCTGGGCGGTGACCATGTACCCACCCTGGGCCCTTTCTACCACCTGCTGATCTACAGTTCTGCGGTAAGCCCAGGAGGCCAGTGACCTTGAGGTCACTCATGGGCCAGATCCCAGCCCTCAGCACACGGAAAGGGTCCTCTGGTCTTGGACTCCCCAGCTGCCCTATGCCAGAGTTTTATCCTGATCCCAGCTCCTCTCAGCCTTGCCTGCCCCCACAGGCCAGAGAGGAAACTGCAGGACAGCAGAGAACAGAACTCAGCTGCTCACCTCGTGCTCAGCCCACCTACGGGTCACAGGCAGCCAGGCAGAAAACCAGACAGGGCCCAGGCAGGGGTGGCCACAGGGGCGCGGGCAGGGCTGTCCTGGGAGGCTTCAGTCTTGCTCAGACCGCAAGGTCACACCTCACCACTTGCAAGCCATGTGTGTGACCACAGCATCGTGGAGTTTGGGTCACAAGTCATGTGATTTCTCCTCTCTGGGGGTTCTAAACTGCATGGGGGTGGGAACTCTGGGATTAAGTTCCCTCAGAGGGAAGTTTGTTTTGTGGTTTAGTCCTGCCCCCAGCTCTGGGGTATGACATCCCCTCCCACGACTCTCACAGATGACCATGAAGGCACAAAGGGGTGGTGTGGTGTGTGTGTATGTGCGTTGCAGGGAGCTGGCCTGAGAAGGCAAACCCCATGTGCTTCTGGGCAGACCTTGCCAGCAGGCCAAGCAAACAAAGAGGAGCCTCTGCTCCCCTTGCTGCCCACTGCCCCCAACTGCGATTTCCTGAGCATGCTCACTGGCAACACCTTGTCCTTGTGCCAGCTCAGGGGAGGCAGTGCTGGCCCACTCTGCTGTCTGGGCTGCTGCCTGACAAAGTCCTGCCTGGAATTTTTAGACATGCTGGGTCCTAGATGTGCATTTAAACAAGGTAAGTAGGGCAGGCCAGGGCTGCTCCTAAGTAGCGATGGCTGCGGTGGAAAGGCAGGAGGGCCCTGTGAGGACACCCAGCAGGGTCCAGGATGGCCACCCTTGCTCACCCTTCTGCATTCTGGATTTACCTGATTGTATGGTGCTGTCTATCACTGTGGGTTTCTCCGTGCTCAACACAGTGGTGCCACCTGCAAGACAAAATCGGAACGTGAGACAGGGAAAGGAAGCGTTACGGGCCCTGTGCCTGTCGAAGTTGGCACTCCTGCAGGGAGTCTGCCGGACACACTACCGTGGCACCATTTCCCTTGAACTCTGCTCACTGCCACAGCAGGCACACTTTAGTTTCTAACCGAACACCTTAAAATCCCTTGAAAGTTGCTGCTCAGAGACGACGCCTCTAAAACTAGCATGGAGAAAAAGGGATGGAGAGGCCTGCACGTGCCGTTTCACAACACTCCCTTTCCACAAGCTCTCCTCTGGCAACACAATGCGCTTCTCCTGCAGCTGCGTCTGGCACTGAGGCTGTGCCAGCTCTCCAGTTGTCTCCAAGGCTCACAGCACAGATGCAGCGTGGGCTTGTGGTGAGAAACCATGGAATGCCCTCTCGGCCAGTCCTTTTACAGGCACATGGGAAGCTGGAACAGCCCGAGACCCCCTTCCTGTGGTGCTTCTTTCACCAAGCATGGTGTGCAAGCATGATGAGCAGGGCTGTGCCATGCACGGTATGAAGCTTGGCTTCGGTGCTGTAGATGGCTCCATGGTGTCAGATGGTGCTTCAGGGAGCTGCAGGCCTGGTCTGTTTGCTTTTGCAGAGGCTAGAGTTGATGCAAGCTCCCTTCCTTTGCTTGAAACTGTTGGCTTTTCCCAAGGACACCTGTGCTGCCAAGCATGTGGGGGAGAGAAACTTTCTCAGAGACCCAAATAACACTCTGACCATGGGGCTGGGCTGCAGCCTCGGTTTGCCTGCTTTCTCCTGTTGCATCCATCTCTTCTGTGGCGGAGCCATCTTCCAGACTTGTCCAGCAGGCACTGCAGCCTGACACCTGCTCCACTCTCAGCTTCCTGTCCCCGCATCCATCTGGACCTGAGAACCGGGATCTGTAGGGTGATGGCCTTGAGCTCTGCCCTTCCAGTAGTGCTACAGGCCAGGCTCCCTGCGCCTCCTGCAGGTAAGGTGTTAGGATATGGGTCCCACTTCAAATTGTGCTCTCAAGATGGTTTTAGAACGCTACAACCAACTGTCGGGATGAGTGGCAGGAGGAAGATCATGCATACCAAGGGTTTCCAAGGGCGTCTGTAGTGGTAGAACTGCAGGGAGGCACACGGCATTAGCAGTTAGTTCTCATGTCAGAGGAGAACAAGTTGAGGCGTGCATGCTTGCTGAGAAAGTGGTGCATGTGTGACCAGGTTTCTTACAGGTCATAGGCTAGGTTCTACATTGGGGACACGTGGTTCCAAGGTGCGTTGCGGCCTCCTGGTACCTCTGCTGTCAGGGCTGACCCTCTTTGTTCAGCAGGAGATATCTAGTTGTCTATGCACAGGAATGAAACACTGGAAGATACAGCCCTGGCCTCACTCTTCCTGTCTCTGCCCAGCAGGGTTCGAAAACAACCTTGGTCTACCTGTTACTTACTGGGGGCTTCGTGAAATTCATGGAAAAGGCATATTATGACAAATGAAGCATGGACTTGGACACACAAACTTTGTGAAGCCCCTCATATAAGCCCACTTTTTTTTTTACGGCAAAGAATAACCAACAGCTTCAGTGCTGGAAGTGGACTTAACGGGTGGCTGTCCCTTCTGGACCCAGGTACACCTGCTGCAGGGGCACAGCCACACCTTTGCAGGGGCAGTGTCTGCATCTGTTTCCTATTTCAGCCTGAGGAAATGGACTGAAGGTGAAGCTGAAGCCCAACTTTAGCCTGTACAAAACTGCCCCTGCTGCATTTTCTACGTGTCTCGTTCCCTGTGCAGCCACTCAGGACAAAGCCTGCCCTGTTGGAGTCACAGACATCAGTTTCAAAAGATCCAGTCATGAGCTTTCCAAATGCTTTTTTGCAGAAACGAGTCTGTGATCTGAAGCGTCTGCGACGTGAGATGGGCAATGGTGGAGCCGTTGCTGGCAGCCATTGTGCGAGTCCACAGCATCTGGCTTGCCTCCATGTGCTCTGTAAACCATTCTGTGCTGGACCTGCACTCAGGAGCAGCAACAGTGTGGTGGTGACTGGCCAGAGGGATGAGCGGTAGAGGTTCTCCTGGCCATTAGGAAGTGAGGTTCCAGGTAGGGCATCTATGTGCAGGCTGTTCTGCCTCAGGGTGTTGAATGCATGTTCTTGGGGGGGGTCCCATCTATGAGGGTCATGTCCTCTGACTTGCCTCATGACAGTCTGTCCCTTGAGCTCTGAGACCCTCAGAGCAGTAGTTGGGGTTGTTTTGACCTTCTGTGAAAATCGGGAAGCACATGAAACCATGTTTTGACCTGGTCAGAAGTCCCTGGGATGCCGTTAATGGCCACAGCCCCATCTTGGCACCTGCCTGACACTTTGTAGGTGGGTTAGCAAGGCCCTGTTACTGCCCACCTGTTGGAGGGGATAAGGAGACAGTTGTGCATGTACTGACAGGAAATGATTGATAAAATCCCATCCTAAAAGTTGCATTTTGAATGCGGGCCTATCAGAAACAGCCTTCGAAGGGGCATGGCTAAGTCAGAGAAAAGATGGGAGAGGATGAGATCTCAGCTCCTAGAGCCCCAAAGCCATTGTCATCCCCAGCCTTTGGCTTTGAGCAATTAACCTTGATGACTGGGATTGCCACAGTTGTCATGGTGACAGAGCAAGTGAAGCACCCCCTCCCGCCCCACCAATGTCCCCTGGCCCACAGAATGGGTGGTCTCAATGTGACGCAGGAAGGGGAGATGGCGGCTCACCTGTGAGCTGTAGATCGTCCCCTGTGCCGCTGTGGCAGGTGGCCTGGTCATCATCACACTCATCTACTGGGTTCCCATTGGGGGTGGTTGGCCCTGCTGTGGGTGCTAAGACAAAACCACATGTTAGGATTGGGGGTTGGCATGGCTGCAGCAGGGTAGGGGGCCGCCAGCACCTGGTATCTAAGGCCCCATCCCAGATCCTGAAATGGCATCTGACCCGTAGCATCATCCCCCCCTCTGAGAAGTGCCTGAATCCACCCTGGGTGGAGGACTTTCCTTGGGGCGGCAGTCCCCATTCTCATGTCCCTCTCTGCTCCATTGCCCCAGCACTGTCTTCACATCTGTGGTCACTAGCATTAATCCTAGGCTGGTTTTGGAGACCTTACACTTAGTGTAGTCTGCTTTGCTCCACAGCCTATCACCCATTTTTGCAATCTGTTAATATTTCACTGTATGAGGCTTGAGATGATGTATCATTTTTTTGCATGGTTGAGAACCGTACAATATGTGCAGAGTGAGGACTCAGGAGACAGGTCTGTTCTCTTCCAGCCCTGAGGAGTGCTGCTGCTTCCTCAACAGAACCTTGACCTTGAATCACTGCACTTCAGTATTGAGCAGAGGTAAGATGAATGTAGAAACAGCTACGTTTGGGCTCTGGAGTTGTGCTGCAGCAGGGTAAGCTGTGGTCTGTGCCACCAGTATCTCATATGAGCACTGGTTCAAGTCCTGGCTGCTCCACTTGCAATCCAGTTCCCTGCTACTGGTCCAAGTCCCTGAGTCCCCGTGCCCATGTGAAAGCCCTGGATAGCATTTCTGGTTTTTGTCTGGCTCAAGTCCTAAGTTTTGCAACCATTTGGAAAGTGAATGAAAGACCTCTGTCTCGATGGCTTTCAAACAAATCTTTAAAAAAGAAACAACCAAGTTTAAATTTTTCCAAATGTTCCACCATGCATGGTAGCAAACAGGCTTGCCACTAAGACATGTCTGTTGGTCCTAGGAAGACCGTGTGTGTTCTGGGCACTCGTGGCTGCTATCATTGCTGCATGGAGTCCTCTCTGGCCATCCGACAGCGGCCTCTGATCCAGTGTCTTCCCAAGGCTCCACATGACATGTGACTTCTCAGTCCTTTACATTTTCTGCCTGTTTCATCTATTTTCTGCATTCTTTGTGTCTGTCAAGAGTGGCCCAGTGCAGCCTGCATGACACTGAAAATGTAGAAAATGGATGCTTACTCTGCCCCATTTCCTATTTGAATTAACTATCTGTGTCTTAGATAAATATATGAGCTACCAGTGGAACGGACACTCACAGAAGGGCAGACTCAGGTGCTTCCCACAGAACAGGGTGAAATGTGGGCATTCAAGCAGGGCCTGCAACTGGAGTCACAAGCAACAAAACTCCACTTTGGCCAACTGAGGCTGGTGGTGGTTACTCTGAAGCTCAGAACAACCACATCAGTGGTTACTTCCTCTCTCTGTTTATTCAGAACCAACCTAGCCAAGGGCCGACAGCTCAGCCTTTTCAACCACTCATGCTCACCATCTCTAAAGCTGAGACCTGCACCATGGCCAGGGTCTTCACTTGCAAGGGTCCACACTTCTCTGCCAAATGACCACAGATTGTCTGTTGGAGTGTGAGTCGAGTTTGTCCTTGGTATGGCCTTGACTTGTTGCATGTGTGTGTGTGTGGTAGAGTGAACCTTAGTCGTTCTCCAGGTAAAGCTGTTCCCTGCAGCAGCTCAGAGTCCACTGGAAATTCCTGGTGCCCGACTTGCTGTTTCCTGCTGGCCTATGGTGATCTCACCACTAGCATAGAAACAAGACCCTAGAGGCCCATGGGGGTCTCCCCTCGAACCAAGGTGGTATCTGGGGCTTGATGGCACAATTGTGGACATATGCGATGCCATGGAGGGTCCCTGACCTGAGAATTACACTTGATCAGATTGACCAACAGCACCCATGACCACAATTAGAGCTGAACGAGTAGCCGGGGTGAGAAGAGCTGCCTCTTGGGACATGGGCTGGATGCTGGGCCTCACTGAATCAGGCACCTGGCCCCTGAGAGGGGTGGCCTGCCAAGGCACAGCTGAGTGGAGAGGGAAGCCACGGTACCTTCCAGCTCACAGCCCAGCAGCTCCATGCGTAGCCCCAGTCCACCGTGCGTGGCCCTCTCTGGGTATATCCTGATGAAACGCGTGGACAGTGGTGGGAATGTCCGCAGTTCAGGCGTGTCATAGTTGTTGTTGCCCTCGAAAGACTGGGGACAGGAGGAGAGCGGTCAGCTTGTGGGGACCTTGCTTTTGCTAGCTTCTTGGGACTCGTAGCAGGGCAGGGGCAGAGGCATGGCTGACTTCCTTTCAACTAACCGGATAGGAAGTGGGGACACTCCCACTTGTGCTGGAGAAGGGGTACAGAGGGCTGAGGGTTGAAGGAGACAGTGGCCTTCCCCCGGGGGAACAAGGGCATTGTCACTCAAGTCTTCTCTGCCTATCTCAAACTTCACGATCCACTCCTGTTCCCATCTTTCCTGGAATCGGGGGGGCTGCAGGGACTGAGATGGGTTTCCTGGGTGGCAAAGCTGGGTCCCTCTGTCTGAACCTGGCGATGAGGAAGACCTCCCCTCCGGGCCCTGTCCAGTCCTCACCTTGGCCTTGCGCTTGCTGTCATCCATAATCATCTTCCAGTCGGAACCATTGTGGCTGTGCCCGATCTTGAACTTCTTCATGAACACCTTGTTCTCCCGGTGCTTGCCCCCCTGCACGATGATGCCCCGCACCACCTTCTCCTCACCCAGGTCCACCTGGAGCCACTCATTGGTGTAGGGATGGGATGCAGGAGGCAGGGCCCAGCCGGAGCGGCTTGTCACCAGGCGCACATTCTCGGGCATCCAGTTCCGGTCCCCCTGGTTGGAGGCTGTGATCTGGGAGTCAGAAATGAGCCCGGATACCATGCCCAGCATCCCGGAGCAGGGGTAATCTGTGTGTGGAAGGAAGTGGCAAAGGACAGTGAGAGCCAGGACGCAACGTGGGCACAGAGGCTGCCTCCAAGTGTCCTGTAGGGCTTACTATCCCACCCACAGCCTTCTTTCCCTCACACCCTTGCCATCCTTGAGCGTTCTGTTCGCCAGCTCATAGCCCAGCAACAAACTGTCAACAAGTGCATCCTGGATGGGTGTGGGAAGTAAAGAATTAAGTACAAGCCCGAGAGAAAGGTGAGGAGATAAAGTGCAAGACAGCAGAAGAGGCAGGCCAAGGTAAAGTGCATGGTACTTCCCCACCCTGGTTTCTCCTGCCATGAGCAGAGTCTTCATTGGCTAATTTTCATTTTATCTGAAAGACTATTAGGGACAAAGAGATCTTCCATCCACTGGCTGTTTCTCCCACAATGCCCATGTCAACCAGGGCTGGGCCAGGCAGGAGCCAGGAACTGAGTCTGAGTCTTCTGCATTGGAGCAGGCACCCAAGCACTTGGTCACCTCTCAGGAATGCAGCATTTCAAATGGGATACGGGCATCTGAAGCAGTAGCCTGACGGAGCAGAGTCTGCACCGCCCAAGGACATCAGGCATCGTTCCCCGACTGACCCAGCCTGCACTTTCCTCGACCACGTGACCATGCAGCTAATCCATGCCCAGTCTGATGGTCTTTTCCTAGTTCCCAATTCTGTCCTGCCAATCTTGGGTCTTTCTGTAGCCTCCATGTCTTTGACCTGATCCTGACCCAAGCAGAGCCAGGCCATAGCACTAAATGGTGCCCTGGTCTCAAACCATACCCAAGTCTTTGAGTGGCAATCACACCATAACTTTCCTCAAACTGTTCCTGTCACATCAGTCTCACATATAGAATCCTGAGTGGCTGTGTGAAACAAGGTGGACACAGGGGGTACACGGTGCATGATCCTAACACAGGGGGACCCAGCCTGGAGGCTCCAGAGCAGTCACACGGTAGGACCAAGTGGGTAGCAGTGGCCAGGGAGGAGGAGGACGACCAGCCATGTTCAGTGGGTGCAAGGGTCTGCTGGGATGGCACAACAGTATCACCAGGGCTCCATGAGACCCAACTGCACACCTGAAACTTGCAGAAGTGCTAAAATTGATGTCTTGTGTCTTCTGCCACAATAACAATGAAAAAAGGAAATAAGGGTCTTAACCTACCCAGGCTGCACATTACACCTAGGATGATCAAAATTGTGTCTCTGACTCTCACATATGAAGAACCCTGTCCATCCAGCTCTGTTAGGACCCTTTCGGGTGCACTGTGTTTGTGTTGCCCAGTGCTGAGCACAGGCCTGTCAGGCCAACCCTCCTTGGCCTGCAGCACCTTGGCCACTGCCTCTCCCCAAACTCTTCTTGCTCCAGGACACAGAGAGTAGGTCCCCAGATGTCAAGTCCCTGTTGATGGCTCCTGAGGAAAATGTCCCAGACAACCTGAGCTACACCCTGAGCTCTCCCATCCCAGAACCATGACAACCAGCACAGGAGGAGCCCAAGCCAGGTACTCAGCTTCATTGAGAGGCCTCAGGTTGTGGCCCTGCGTCCTCAGCTAGGATCTAAGATCCTGAAGGCTTGGACAGCCTATGTATCCTGCAAACCACATGAAACAATACCGGATATGCATGCAGGAACCCAAGTGACAAAACCATGCAAGGATGGAGACTCAAAATATCCGAACACCTGGAGCAACGATGGTGATGCAAAAACTCAATACGACTGCTTTGTTCCAGCCCAGGTGACACAGCCCCAACACACCTGCTCAGCCCAGGTGACACAGCCCCAACACACCTGCTCAGCCCAGGTGACACAGCCCCACACACCTGCTCAGCCCAGGTGACACAGCCCCAACACACCTGCTCAGCCCAGGTGACACAGCCCCAACACACCTGCTCAGCCCAGGTGACACAACCCCAACACACCTGCTCAGTCCAGGTGACACAGCCCGAACACACCTGCTCAGTCCAGGTGACACAGCCCCAACACACCTGCTCAGCCCAGGTGACACAGCCCGAACACACCTGCTCAGCCCAGGTGACACAGCCCCAATACATCTGCTCAGCCCAGGTGACACAGCCCCAATACACCTGCTCAGCCCAGGTGACACAGCCCCAATACACCTGCTCAGCCAAGGTGACACAAGCCCAATATACCTGCTGCAGCCCAAGGGTCATCAACTAACAAACATGGCAACCCCGGGGACATAATGCGCTATACACCTGCAGCAATGTAAGTGATACAATGTTCAACACACCTGCTTAGCCCAGGTGACTGACATCCAAAATACTTTCAGTGGTACAGACGAACATGCCCAGCACACCTGCTGTTGCAGCTGAAGTGATAAGGCCCCCCACTCCTAGAGCAGCCCTGGTGATGTCAACGCACATCTGCATCAGTGGTAACTGCTTTTACGAAACAATGCAATTCTGCCTTCAAACAATGTGCTTCCTTGTCCCGCATGCCATTTGCCTCCTGCCTTCCCTCAGTCCCTCTGTTAACTGCTGACTCCCTGACTCTTTGCAAATGCTTGCTGTGGGCTCACTTCCCCTCATAGGACTCACAGGAATGAAGGACCAGGGCTGCATTCCCATCTTTGGGCTGCTCTCAGCTTTTCCAGGACTTAGGTCCTCCAAGGACATGGAACCAAGTTGCTGTTTTATTTTCCGTGACTCTTTACGTCCTGCTTCGTGCCTGGTATCTGCTCAGTTTGCTCAGTGAGTCAGCTTATTGACACCACGGTGGCAGCTCTCACTATGTCAGGCACTGTCCCTGTAATTCAGCCACAGTATTTGCTCTGGGCTGGGATCCGGACAGTGAGGATTGAAAACAGGACTTGAGAAAATGATTTTTTTTTTTCAGATGGCCTGTGAATGGTGGTGTTAAAAATAGAAGTCATACATTTTTGCTCACTGTGGTCACAACCTGCCTGACTCCAGATCAGCTTTTGCAAGGCAAGGCCCAGCTCATAACGGGGCATGCGGACACAACATTTGGAGGAAAACAGAATTAACATGGTAAGGAGAATAATACCTGCACCCAAGGCATGCCTTTTCTCCAAAGCAGCACTGGCCCCCACAGCCAGGATCCTGGGGGTACCAGACCCCACTGGGCCAACACAGCCTCACTGCAGTCAGATGCTGACTGTCTTGCACCGAGAGGCATCTTAGTCTGCCCTGCCCAAAACCTGTGCATGTGACTCAACAGTGAAGAGCACACAGCAGGGTCCACTCACAGCTCATGCGGACATAGAGCTGCCAGACTAAGAAACAAGCAGAGCAAGAAGCAGGATGCCCGATTGCCAGGACTTCAGAGAAAGGACTAGGAATGTCTGGGTACACAAATGCTCCCAATATCACATGGAACATACAAGGTGTTCAACATGTTCGTGCAAAATGGAATTCAAAGGTAATTTTGTTTTGGTGCAAAAATGAAAAGTTCATTTCATGAACTTCAAAAATTTTTGTATCAAAATGACCTTACCCTTTAACTCCATTTTCCATGAACTCTTTATGTACCCTCATACTAAGTTATTTGCTGTCTATCTGGCCTCTATCTGGACACTGGAGGTCCTGCCTATCTTGTGCCACAGACATGGGGAGACCTGTGGTCCATCTCCTCAAGCAGGAGGCTCAGTACGAGCAGGGATGCCACAATCCTGTCTGTCACCAGCTCCCACCCTGATGGGCCCAGCAACTTGGGGAGGGGAGCATAACTTACACAGGGATGTCTGCCTTGGTTTACTCATGCAGTAAAAATGGATGCTGGGAAAGATAAGTCACAGGTGGCACTGTCGGGGGCAGGCGGTGAGTGGCAGGAGAATTTCCACCACTTAGACTTATTGTTCACTGCACTGCAGTCACACCTGCAGCCTCCAAAGCCAGAGCACTTCATGTGCTGTTGTGTACTCTCAAGAACTACCAGTGTCCCTTGGCCCGGGAACAGGTCCCGTCAGTGTCCCCTGCCCCGGGAACAGGTCCCGTCAGTGCACTCTGTCCCAGGAGGAGGCCCCATCAGTGTCCTCTGCCCCGGGAGGAGGCCCCATCAGTGCCCCTTGTCCCAGGAGGAGGCCCCGTCAGTGTCCCTTGCCCCAGGAACAGACCCCATCAGTGCCCACTGCTCAGGGAATAGAGCATAGCTCTGGTGCTAGTACCCACGAGGCTTACATACTCCTAGAAAAAAAGCTTCTACCAAACAAATGCCTGCATCCAGCAGGCTGTGCCAGATACTCTGCATCCATCATAGCACTCAAGATCACAGCACACCAGCTGGGTACATGCCTCTAGCAACGTCTTCGATGGAAGACAACCGAGGCTTTGACAGGTGGCTACACTGTACAGAGAGAATCTGGTGAACAGGAGGGTAGGATCTGACCTAGAGAGCTATCAGATCCTAAATTCATGCTTTTGGGGTAGGATTCAGCTTAGTGGATAAAGCTCTAAGATGCTGGCATGCTGGGACCAGTGTTGTGGAGCAGTGGATTAAGCTACTGCCTGCAGTGCCGGTATCCCATATAGGTGCCTATTCAGCTGGCTGCTCCACTTCTGATCCAGGTCCCTGCTAATGCACCAGGGAAAGCAGCAGAAAGTGGCTCAAGTGTTTGGGCCCCTGTATTCATGAGGGAGCCCTGGATGAGGGTCCTTGCTGCTGGCTCTGGCCTGGCCCAGCACTGATTATTGTGACCCTTTGGGGGAGTGAACCAGCAGGTGAAGAGCTTGCTCAGATGTCCTCTCTCTCTCTCCATCCATCTCCCTCACAATTAAGTAAATAAAAAGCAAAAGTCAAGTCTGTGTCCTTAATCACCGACTAGAATTGACTGTCTTCTGTGTAAACCCACCCTGCCTGCAATCAGACATCTGCGTAGACCGGCACGCCAGGGTCCAGCCGCAGGTGCTTACCTGTAATCTTGCAGCCATAGATCTCGAAGCGCATGGATATGCCCGTTTCCCAGGTCATGGGCCTGATTCGGACAAACCGTGTGATCAGCGGCTTGGGGAAAATTCCTAATACAACATCGGTGGGGTTTGAGTTCCCCTGGAAGATCTGTGTGGATAAGCAAGGGGATCTTGTTACGAGACTTCTCACATTTAAGACAGATCCCAAAACACCACCATGTCTGTCGGAGTTGAGGTGGCACAGGTAGCTTGGGTTATGGCTAAGGGGGGGAGCCTGAGACCCCTGCCGTGGAATGTTCTAGTCGTATGCTCAGTGTTTGCAGTGGCCACGGCTCCAGGAAGTTCTCACAGGGAGGCACTGCTGGCTGGCATTGACAGGAGCAAGATGTTGCTACATGCCTCAGGCCCGTGGACACTGCTGAATTTCCTGGGGGGGTGGGGTGCATTTTCATCTGCTTCCCCAGGAGCCCCAGGAGGAAAGCTGAGATCCAGAAGGGTCTGCTGTGTGGACATCTGCACTGTGCTTCTGGATGCCGTGCTGGGCAAGCAGCGTTCTCCATTCTGCCTGCATTACTTGAGGGAAGAACTTGTCCTCAATACTCTCAAACCACGCTAATCTGCACTGGTCCAGGCAAGGTTGTGTTCTGGTGGTGAGACAGAGCTGGGTTGTAAACAACTTCCTACTCACAGTCAGCTTTGCCGGGCGTCTAGCTGGAAAACAGCTCATTTTATCCCAAGAAAGATGAGGTGTGTTTGGGTGTGAATCTGGCTCTCACCAGTGAACAGGGACAGCTGTGCCAGACGTGGGGCTGTGGCACATTGTCCAGCAACCTCTCGGGGCATGGGTCTGCTGGCCACCATGGGTGACTTGGGCATTCAGCTTGCCCCAGGAAGAAGTGGAAGTTCCACTTCCTTGCATTGTACCCAGTCCCAGGTTGGAGGCCAGTGCGGCACCATTTTTGTTTCTCCATACAACCAGCTCAGATTTCACTCCTAGGGTGCGATGGGGCCCACCTGAGCCGGGGAGACCCCTGCCTCATCAAGCGACCATGCAGGGAAGGTCCATAGTTTCTGATACTTGTCTTTCATCAGGAGAAAGGGCTTGGGAAAACAGCCATCTGGTCTAAGTAGCTGGCATAGAGGGAATGCCATATACCAAACTGATCATTTCCTGGTCCAAGATGCCCTTCGAACTCTGCCTGACTACAGTCCCCTTGGGAAGTGGCTTGCATGAGGTCATTTTCCTGTAACAAAAGCCACAGAGGATGGCTGGGGGCTTGATGCTTGTGCCCTGCATACAGAGTCAATGTGCCCTTGTGAGTGGTCAGGTGTCAGTCTGAGACGTGCAGCTCTGATCGCCTGGAGGCAGCCTTGCAATGGTTGAGACTGTGCCAGGACACCTGTTGTAACCTGTGGAGTGATCCACACAGGGCCAACACTTCCAAGGAGAGTGTGTGGAGGTCACAGCCAGGGTTTGAAAAGCCCCAGAGCAGAGAAGGACAAGGCAAGTGACAGCGACCAGACCCTGGCTGGATGTGGCAATTTCCCTTGTTTCTGAGACACTATTCTCATTCTCTGCGCATGTGTCCTGGGGACCCTTCTGTGTGCCCAGGGGTTTCTTGTGCCAGCTGTGTGCACTGTCACATGGCTGTGTGCACTGTGGGGCGCCCTGGCTGCCAGGGTGCCTCTGGATATCCTTTCCGGCCATGCCAACACCTTGAGGATCACAGCTCAAGGACAACAGCCTGGAAAACCAGGCACAGTTCTCATGCTCGCTATGCCTCTCCTGTATGGGCATGTCCTTAGCACCAATGTGCTTTTGCTTGAACGTTCAGCTTGTATTCAAGTAAGAATTAGTCATCAGAGTTGGTGTTAACATTTGTCCTTGAATCTCCTCTAGGCACGAGGGTGGAACACAGGCTCCACACCTGCCAGGTGCAGGCAGTGGCCTTGGACTCACCTGCCACCCCCAGAGTGGCTGTGTTTGCACTTGCTCACACCTGGCCTTCCCTAAGTCAGAGTCCCAAGGACTGAGCAGACCCTTTCCCTCTACATGGTGTGGGGAGGGGGCTTTCTCTAGCCCACACCAGGCCCCATTCACAGGCCTCTCCCTGAACCCTAATTTCAGGTCCCCTGGGTTTTGTTGCTATACTTATCAATCTCCTTTGTTTTGCTTGGCTCTAGCACAGGCTTGTAATTCTGAGGACAGTGTGACCGAGTCCTCATTAAGCCCTGTATGTAGCAAATCTGTATATGATTTCAAATAGGTCAGCACAGCAAACTTCTCAGTTGAGAGCCACCAAGGATGAGCTACAGGGGCCTGCATGGTCAGCAAGGGCCGCATGGTGACTCTGGGCACCTACTGCCCCTCCAGCCGAGTACACCTGTGTATCAGCATGTGAAGCACAGAGTGAGTGAGAGATTGGAAGAGACAAATGTAGAGGAAACCAGTTGCCATGGTCCCCGGCTCAGAGGACTGCATGGACAGGCTCATGCTGACAAGCCCTGGTGACTCCTGAATACCATTCCCTGCGGCCACTCTCATTGTGCTGATACTCTCTGAAGCCATGCCTGGCTGGGACCCACTGTGGCTGCTCCCAGCGCTGTCAGCCACCGTGGCTGGCTAGTGTTGACTTTCCCTAGAAACATTTGAATAGTTTCCTCTTGGCTTCTTGAAAGGGAAACATGAGTTTACTTGGTCACATTTAAGCTTCTAATTGCAGTTTCCCCTTCCGATCAGCTCACAAGGCAGATCAGGCCAGATAGGAACCCTCGTGTGACCACACAAAATCATGGGCAGGTGGAAGGGGGCTGCCGCACTCACTAGGGGCTTGTTGGCTTCCTTCAGAGTGATCCAGTCCTCCCCATTGGAGCTGATGTCTATCCTGTACGTCTTCACAAAGTATCTCTTCTTGGTCTCCTTGGAAATGGCCCCCTGTGTCCCCACGGCCGTGACGAAGCGCAGGAGGCCCAGGTCTACCTGCAGGACAAATACACGCATGATCAGCGTCACCTCCAGAACACGGAACCTGGGAAATATGTCTTCCAGGGACACCCTTCCTCCACTGGGGCCGACAGGCCCTGACGGCATCCCCGGCCACTGTACTAACTCTTCCCTCTGTTGATAAACAAAGATAGGACAAGAGCAGGCATGACATGGTCCTCATTCCCACAGCCAGGATCTTCTGGTCTCTGGTGCATAGGAGAAGATGGGGTTCATGGTCACTTTGAAAGATTAAACCCACTTTCCCAGATATCCCTCAGAATCCGTCCATAGGAGAAGGGAGCAATGAGTTTATTTTGGTGTAAAAGTTTTAGAAGCCACACACACTGAGGAGTCTTCAAAAAATGTGTGCTCCACCAAACCAAGCACAGGTTTCAGAAATGTTTGTGCCGAAGTGAACTTATTTTTGACTCCATCTCCCTTGAACTCTTTGAAGGGCACTCCTGTGTGGCATTTCTCATGCAGAAAATGAAGAACGAGCTCTCAGAAGCTGCTTATGGCAGCACACAGATCAGAAGCCAGGCCTACCACAATCCTGTTTCCTGTCTGTCTTGAGCCTTTTGGCTTCATCTTACATTATTTCCTACTCCACATCCCTTCACCCACTACAGCTCAGCCCGAAAGCAGGAGGACCATGCAGTTCCAGGGCTGCTAGCTTCCAGCATGTGTGGCATCTCCACCAGTCAGTTCATCCCACTCCTAAACCACCTTTGCAGAGCGTGTCCTGGGAAGCACACCTAGAGCCATCATTGCCACTAGCCTGTGATTCTATTCCAAATGCCTTCAGTGACTTCAGGGGGTTGCTGCAGCCCTGGGATATGTGAGAGAAGGGTTAAGCCCCAAGTACAAAGATTCTAGGCCCAGTTCTAGCACCATGTCTAGGCTTCCAGGCCCTCAATTGCAGAGCAATGACACAGGTGACAGCAAAGAGATGGTTCCGCCCGGCCCCGACTTGCCATGCTTTCACATGTCCCACCTATGTTTCCAGTAAAGAGAACAGCTTTCTCTAATTTTCCTTATTAATACCAAATATAATTTAAGTAAAAGTGTCAGCTTCCGTGTATTAGAAATATGTTTAGTTTCCTTCTGTGACCACAACTGAATAACCTTGTAGAACTGTTTCTCTGTTTACCGCATGCCCTGGTTTATGCGAGACCTTGGAAGAAAGAAACCAAACTCGCCTATGGAGCAAGTGGTCAGGCAGTGCACCCTCCTCTGACACTTCTCTCACAGATGCCCTTTCCCCAGGAAACAGCAGCAAAGACAAGCAGAGCACACAGCACCACCTCCCCAGCTCCTGCATCCTCTGCCCTGGCTGCCTGCTGCTTGACAACTCAGTTTCCAGAAAGAATTCTCAGCTAAGGCTGCAATCCACAGAGTGCGACTGCTTAGTCATGGGCCGCTGTTCCTGGGGTGCTGGGGGTGACTTATTGGATAGGCTGCCAACTTGCTTTTGATGGAACCATCACTGACATTCAGGAAGTCCGCTAAGAGGCCAGTCACACAAGGCAGGAGCAACAAACTTTGTCCAAGGAGTCAAGAAAAGAGGCAGTAAAAACTCTGGCGTTTACCCCCATGATCTCAAAGGTAGTAAGTCTACACCCTGAGTGGTTTCACCAAATTCAAGAGACAGAAACAAAACATGGATAAAAATGACTTTCAGGGCCACAATGAAAGATGTCTTGGGTTTCAATTAATCAATCGTCTGCTCTACAATGTTGATCGCTTTCCAAAGGGAGCCCTGGTCCTTTGTGCCAGGGTTGACATTCTCCCTCCTGCTCTGGTGCACATTTTCAAAAAGGGGAGGTGGCTGGGAGTGTCAGCTGAGCAAACAAAAAATATAAGTCATCCAATGAAATATGAGTTTGGGGTTGAAAAAGGAACCCCACATTTAAAAGGTGCTATGTCTCACCTGACAGAGTGCCATGTATGCAGGTGGCAGCCCTACCCCTCACTGTTTGGATGGCCCATGTAGCTCCAAGGCCACGATGCTGAGCTGTGGAGTGGCAGCTGCTCTGGGCAAGTCACACTGCACCATACCAGTGTTTCCATGCCCTCTGAACACATGGTGATTCATGGGCTGTCCACTGAGCTGTGTCCTTGTGCCTCCACTGGTCAGCTGGAGTTGACTTGGCAGTCCTTAGGTCCCAGGGAAGCAGGAAGCAAGCTCCTCCCGGCAACCTGCACATGACTTTTCAGTGGCAAGTGATGGAATTCCCAGGATGTGCATGTGGTTGGAGCTGATGTGAGCTAACCACAATCTCACTCTTGGTCGGTCCTTTTCCTGTTTCTTTTGATAGTGATTGGGGTGAGATTCAGTTACCAGATAGGAAAGAAATTAACTGGCAGTCAAAGAAAGGAATCCTGAGCCGAGGACAAAGCTGACTTCAGAGGAAGGAGTTAGCAGGAGTCAGCCGAGCCTAAGACAGGAAATGCCCATGGCTTCTGACACAGGCCTCAGCCCAGCAAGCATTCCCCTTTCCCAACAGTCTGGAAGCCTAGTAGTAGCATACCACACCCTGCAGAGCTCCCCACTTTGCCCTAATGCCACAGAGTTGCTCACCACCCTGGTATACTGGATGCTTCGCTGTGTTTTTCTCCCTAACATAATCACCCCTGGGTTTGGTGGGGATGGATGAGATGCTCACAGAAGGGCTACATAGGACCTGCACCTCTACTGGAAGCTGGATGGCAGTGGGTAGGCATCCGGTCTGGTAGTTAGACCCCTAACCCCCAATCAGAGGGCCTGGGTCCCAGTCCCAGCTCTGGCTCCTAACTCCAGCTTCCTGCTGATGAGCATCCTGGGAAGCAGGAGTGACGGCTCCCATACTTGGTTTTCTGAAACCCATGCAGGATACTTTGGTTGTGATCTTGGCTCCATCCTTCAGCCTGGCCCAGCCCTGGCTTCTAGCAAGGACATCAAGCACCTTGTGCAAAACAGAATTAGAAGTTAGGACTGGAGTCGTGCAATAGAGGGTAAAGCAGCTGCCTGTGACAGCATCTCATATGGACACCGATTGGAGTTCCAGCTGCTTCACTTCTGATCCAGCACCCTGCTGATGCACCTGGGGAAGCGAAGGAAGATGACCCAAGCCGTTAGGTCCCTGTAAACCATGTGCAAGATCTGGAAGAAGGTCCTAGCTATGGACTGGCCCAGCTCTGGCTGCTGTGGCCATTTTCGAGAATGATCCAGCAGATGGCAGATCTCTCCTTCTCTGTCTCTGTAAAATTCTGCCTTTCAAATAAATACATCTTTATGTAGGTGCAGAAATGCTGAAGCCCATATAAAGTGGGGTCTTCAGACGGTTCACAAAAAGTGTAAATGATGAGAAACTGGATTTCAAGGCCTTTTTTTGGCACCAAAATAAATTTATCTTCTAACTCCATTTATTTCCATGAGCCTGTGAAATCTGCCTGATCAGTAAAGAACTGACTCTGCCCACCACCTTCTCACACAGACATGAAGCGTCAATGGTGGCTGTAGATACCAGGCTTGTCCCATCTCCCCCTGCCACATGCAATGAGAACTACAACTGCAGATGCTGAACAGAAGGCCCAAGCCTGGGGTCTGCGTGGGGAACAGAAGGCCCAAGCCTGGGGTCTGCGTGGGGAACCCACATCCTTTCCTTTTCCCTTGCACGGGTATCTACCCTGCTGCAGACTTGCAGTCTCTATTACGACACATCCACAGGAGCAGCCCACGTGTAGGTACACGGGAACGGCCCATATGGGCCCTTTCTGCCACAGTACCGTCTTAACTGTGATGGGAAGTACATCCCTGGATGGAGAGACACAGGGACAGGCTCTGGTTTCACGGGAACTGACAAAGGCATGGTCTGAGTGCTGTGTGTCTCTGCCGCTGCAGGTGGACCAGCAGCACATAGCCTTCAAGCCAGGATGGACACATGGTTGCTCCCTGGAACGATCCAGAACCAGCCACTACTGACAGCATAGTGTGAAGAAACAGCCCTGTTGCTACAATGGAAGTCTGTCCTGATCCATAAAATGCTGCCTGTTGGGCTGGCCCTGGCCAGAGAGTGCGGTCTAGCTTTGACCACTCCCATGGCAGAGCAGCACAGCCTGAAAAAACAAGAGTCCAGCAAACTGATGTCTGATTAAAAACAGGAAAACACTTCTGAGGGCATGGAGTGAGGGGGGCATGGTGGAGTGTCTCCGAGATCTCTGATGACTCAGAGGGCTGCTCAGTCCATTGACACCACCAGCCAAAGAGAACACTTTTGGGCAGTTGGCTTGTTTCTGCAGAGAAATCCTTATTTTCCATGGACATCCAGGCAGCTGCAGCCTCCGAGGGTTTGTTTACAGTACTGACCCTGGGGCGCCGCAGGACCTGGCTTCTGAGAACCCACAAGGCGTCCCCTCCCAAGGTGTCCCTTCTCCACTGAGCGACATGATTCTCCCAGTGCTTACAACGGTGTGCTGTCAGTCAGTAGAAGCCCATGGCCTGAATGTCTCCATGGCCTGTCACAGTCCTTACAAGGGCTCCTGTGTATGCCCTCCCTGAGGCTGCACAGCTGTCACCCTGCACATAGGGACAGTGGCCCTGGCCTGTACCCTCACGCTGGCCCTTCAGCTCATAACTGAACTATCAGGCAATGCTAGTTATCACTCCTCCCCGATTGTTTTTGGAAATTTCTTTTATAATTAGGGAACTACCTGGGGTTACTTTACTATCTATCAGCTCAAATTTGACCCTTGCCCATGGAAAGCAAAACCCGTGGATGTGGGGTTGCTGTTAACGATGCAAGATGGGGTGAATGGTGGGTTGCAGCAAAGATAAAATACAGAAATATTACAAATTCTGGAGAATTGAAAAAAAAAGCACAGGATAGGAAGCATCTCACCATTTCATCTTCTCATCTGAACTCTTTGAATTAATCCTTTCTTTCAGAGTTAAATGGAAAGTGAGCACTTCCTGGGATAGACAGATTGCTGTTTCCAATAAAGCGGGTGCTGAG